GACAATAATCTTCTTAATCTGTTCCCCCCATCCCTGGTCCCAGCTAATAACTTCTTTTTTCTGGAAACTCACATTACCAGTTTTTTTGTGTGTGTGTAGCCTTAAAAACATATCATATATATGTATTAATTGTTAAATTGTTTTCATCTGCACCTTTTCCTCTGTCTCTTGCTAAAAGGGCTATCATCGCTCTAAATCAGGGTTGCCCAGTGGTAACAGGAGTGTTCTTTGTGTATGTTGTCCAGTAGAATAGTACTAGCACAAATCCACTGAGCTCTTGAAATGTGTTTCTTACAACTGAATTTTAGATTTTTATTTTACTTTAATTTAACAGCCATAGATGACTGGCTAATGGTTACCCATGGACCATGCAGTACTATGGCATGTTTTTCAGAAACACATGGTCCCTAAATTATAAAATTAAGGAAAGAGACATACCACTAATTTAATATTAAAAKATTCTATATTTCAATACATTTTAAATTATATGTGGCTAGTATATTTTCTTAAAAAAAATCTAGAATTTGAATCATTTCAATTATCTGTGGCTAGTATAGTTTCTTTTTAATCAAGAATCTRAATAAGGAGATGGGAGTTTATTTTTGAGAACATGCTGGTAATCAGAGAAAGCTATGAAAAGGCATGTTYATAGGAGAGCAGATCTCAACCAAATCAGAACATGGACTCCATTTATTCATTCAAGAAKCATTAATTAAGTGACTGTGTGCCTTGCGTAGGCCCTGGGAGCACAGCATTAAGAGCAAATTCCTGTCCTCATAAAGCTTTCACTGTAAGCACTCACAAGAGCCTATTCACCTGATGCCTTCTGTATTGCTTTCTAACAATGAGCACCGCACCCTAGGGAAGGGACCATCGCAAAACTGCAGAGAGGATCTTGCTCAATGCCTGACCTTTKATTGCTGCCAGGGTCCCAAACTCATTTCCTTTAGTAAAGGAAAAAGCTTCAGAAGAAAAACAGTTTTCATTCAGCTACAATGATTTCTTCAGCATTATCACCTCCTTTACCTCTAAGTGGGTCTGCTAACTGTGGGCCGGGACACGAGTTGGGAGAAAATGAGGTCTGGTTGTATCCTCTAGTGCCTTCACTATTTTAATGTAAAAAAGCTGGCAGATTCAAGAATAATGATAATGCAAAAAAGCTCTTCAATATTCCCTTATGGGAAGGCACATATATAGAAAGTTCAGAATCATGGCTTCATTCTTCTGTACTGGGGGAAAGTCTGAGTGGTACCATTTCCCTTCTCTTCTGGCTTTCATTTATCTCCCTCWAACCATGATTGCTTCTTAGATTCTGCACTGCACTTAAGTTTTATCCATTGTATTTTCCTATATTTTGAAAAATTTCTAGTGGGAACAAGTGTTATTTTTGTAATGACGAGTAATAAATAATATTGTAAAAAGGAGACAGGCAGGGAGAGAATGAAAGACTGACATGATCAGTGGGAGCAGAGATCAAGAAGASAAGAATGAATTTGATGAGGAGAGATTTAGGAGCTAGAACTGACAGGGCTTGGGTACAATAGTGGGAGGGGGTTGAATTTAAAACACTTGTTTTATGTAATTGTGATTTTATTTTAAAGAAAGACAAGTGCAAATAATAAAGGTTTGGGGGGTTCTGGTTTTTTTTTAGTTTTTTAACATGTGCTCACCACAATCAAATCTTAAATGTCCATTAAATAGTTTTTTCAGTCACTTATCTGTAAGATGATTTGCCAAGTATTGTTTTTAGTTCACAATATAAATAAATGTATACCCGATGTCATTTTAAAAGCTTACATGAAATAAGTGGAGTTTATTTTTCTGCAAGACCATTTTTCCTCCAGTTTACCTTAGTGATGACCAATTAGTGATGACCAATTAGTGATTTACCCATTTAGTGATACAAATCCCTATTGTGAGGATTAATTACCACAGTAGATATTGGCTTGAAAAAACAAAAGAGAAGGGCTAGAGAACAAGCACTCTAAAGAGGAATGTTTGGAGATCATCATCCATACCACATTTCTAGGTTGGCAGTTATTTATCCTTAGAAAAGTTGTCAAAAATACATTTCTATGCTGAGAATGAGGGGTTTTACAGGTTTCCAAAAATCCATCTGATTTCTAGTTGAGTTGCAAGATCAGAATTTTCTAGTTATATTGACAGCCTCCATAAAAATAAATTCTCCCGCAGTACTCTAGACAATAGACGTAGATGATAATAGAATTTCTCAGATATTAAATCATGCTCTCTTTTCTGTTAAACAAGTTTGGAATTGCTGTTTTTCTGGTCTTTTTTTTTTTCCCTGAAGAAACAACTCTGTTTGGCTATATGTGTTGACAATAATGTTCCRTGTGAAAAAGGGAAAAAAATGAATAAAACAATGTATCCCATTTTGTTATTTCTCTGTGTGAAAATCAGTCTCTAATGAGATGTCCCCAAACAGTGCTCTGTTCATCGAAACACATGCCCTAGATCTGAGTGACTCTAATTATCATGAAGGCGGTGAAATGAGGACATTTCAATGAACCTAAAGTGGAAAAACTCAGAAGATTAAAAGGCAGCATATCTCAGGCTGCATAAAACTAATTTTCAACATCTATTTTCTCTCCTGGAAAAATCATTTTTGAATGGTGCAAAAAGGTTCATTTCAAGCATTTTTTTTTTCAGCGAATGCATTGGAAAATAATATCAGCCCATCCGTAGCGATGATTTTGGAGAGAGACCAGCTCTCTGCAGAGACAAACCTCTCTGCATAAAAAAATTATGTCTGTATATTAACTAGGCTCATGCGCTTCAATTGAGTCTCATATAGTAATCCTGATCAGGAGAAAAATTGTTTTATTAGAGGCATTATCAGACCAAACTTTTATGAAGATCTACCTACTCTTTTTCCAGAAAAAGAGTTTAAAATCAGATGATACAAAATGAAACCATATTTACTGAAACGGTCCCTCTTTATGAGTCTCCAATTTGTTTGGTTTGTGATTTTATTTAACAAGCCAACATAAAGAGATAGCTAATAACAAGCAAACATAAAAAATGTATTTATCKGTGACTTTTTTCCAACTGTCTTATCTCTTGAGCCATGTACTGATTTATTAGTCAGTGAAAAATATAAGAACTGCTTCTCCGTGTTCATTGTGTAACAGCCTACTTGAAATATCTTATTGGAATAGGGGGCCTTCGTCCCCAAAGCACCTTACCATGCTTCGTTTTCATGTTAATATGTGATTGRGTTAGGGGATATTTTACTACTTTGGATCTTATTTGTTTTCCATCGTATGTTGAGATATATTATCTCAGCTAATCGTAATTTTAAAAAACTCTGCTGATACATAAGGAAATAATTGTTGTTTCTTTTAAATTTTTTTTTCAGTTGTTGATGGACCTTTATTTTATTCATTTATTTATATGTGGTGCTGAGTATTGAACCCAGTGCCTCACACATGTGAGGCAAGTGCTCTACCACTGAGCCCCAGCCCCAGCCCAATTGTCACTTTTAATATGAGAAGACTGAGGCTAGAGGAGTTTGGTTTCTAGACTGAGTGTAGAGCTCTCTAATGGGYCCAGGCCTTAAGGAGAGACCTTTCTTGACTGTTGGAGGTATTTGTCTAGTGTCACAGAGCAAAGCAGCAGAAGACCAAATATTACCTCTGTATTATCCTTCAGTTATGTCAGTTTTMTACCCATACTTTCCTCATCCATTGTCCAGATGCATAAAAAGACAAAGGATTGAAATAAGAGAAAGCAAATTGTGCCTAGATAATTTCTATCGACATGAAGAAATGTCCTCATTTTAAAAAAAAAAAAAGTTGCGTGTAAGCAGAGTGCCACAGGTATGAGAGTCCAAGGCCCTTGTTCTAGAACAAAGAGTTTACACTTTGCTAAAGCATAGACGTTCTCAAAAAGGACCAGAAGCATAGAAGTGACACATGAAATAATTACAGACTAATGCACCAACTGGAAATTATTTTTGAGTTATTGGATTTCAGTGAATTGTGACAAACTTTCTCTCATATGTCTTGGACTCAGAGGTAAAAAAAAATTGAAAGCATCAAATATGTTTACTAAGGTATCAGCTATTAGTAGTAATTATCAGCTATTAYTAGTAATCACAATGATAATTATATATTGTTATTATGGCATTTTCTATCTCAGGAAATTCTGTTCTTTCTTTAATACTCCTGTAATAACATGTGTAAAGGAAAAGAATTATTTAGTTCTGAACCATTTCACATCTTGCCAAAACTTAATAGTGAACACGTGAGCCAATTATAAAGGACTTGTTTTACTTATGTGCTTGCCCAATAGTCCAAAGTATCACGGAACACCAGAAGTGCTTTTTAAAACACATAACATTATAGTAAGGGTACTATATATCTTGTTTAAAAAAAGATTACTCAACATTTAGTAGCCTATAGAGAATCTCATTTTCCCTAAGGCCTAGGGCATTATTGATACTCTTTTAAAAAATATCTTTATTAGTTATTGATGGAGCTTTTTATTTTATTTGTGTATTTACATGTGATGTTGAGAATCAAACYCAGTGCCTCACACATGCTAGGTATACGCTCTGCTACTAAGCTACAACCCCAGCCCTGACACTTTTATCATATATTGTGGATATAATTGAGGAAGGTCTATAGGCCTCCACATAAGACGACATAAATGATGAGAAAATTTTAAAACCAAGAAAATGTAATTAAGAATATTACAGGCTGGGGATGTGGCTCAAGCGGTAATGCGCTCGCCTGGCATCACGGGGCGCTGGGTTCTATCCTCAGCACCATATAAATAAAAATAAAGATGTTGTATCCACCGAAAACTAAAAAATAAATATTAAAAATTCTCTCTCTTTAAAAAAAAAGAATATTATAAGGAATGTGTTTTCTGCATCAGTTAATTAGTTTTCAAAGCTTGACAACATGAAATTAATAGGATTCCTTCTAGCAAATCATGTCTCCATTGTTTTCCCCTTATTTCCCCCTTATTCTTAGATTGAAAAAGAAAAAGCAAGCCAAACAAAATGCGGAGACAGCCTCAGCTGTAGCCACAAGGACACATCCTGGGAAAGAAGATGCTAATGCAGTCATTTTGGAACCAGACAAGTGCAACATTGCTGTAGAAGAAGAGTATGTTACTGATGAGAAGAAAAAAAGAAAAAATAACCAGTTAAAGGAAATCAGACGTACAGAACTGAAGAGATATTATAGTATTGGTAAGTATTGGTAGCTCTRTGGCAGTATTTTCATTTTAAAAATCTGTAATTATTTTTAGAAGACTAATTTATAAGTGAATCATCATAACAATAATATCCATTTATGAGCAGCTACCACATGCCTCAGGCTCTTCTTTATATATGTAACATCTTATATAAATGARTAATAATGAAATAATGTCATGTTTCATTCAACTTTGCATTCCTAGCATCTAGCATAGTGCCTAATACATATCGTATGCTAATAAAYATTTATCTAATGAGTGGTTATTCTCCCTGTAGGAGAAATGTTTATTATTTTTCTTAATGTGTATAGGCATATCCATGAAAGAAGCACCTGCAATWTTTGACATCAGTTAAACAAGAGAATAGGGAGGAGATATGACTTAATATTTGTCAATTGAAAAAAAATGCTTGGGCATTTTAGTTAAAGGGAAGCTTAGAAAAAGTCCACAGTGTTATATAGTTTCTCAGAATAGMTGTTACATTTGAAACTGCATAAGCAATGATGGCATATTTATCTTTACTCAAATCATTCAGCTTCCTCTATTGTTTTGTCATATGTAAGCATGGAATAGTTTCCAAAGAGAATGCAAAGAAAGGGTACCCAGAGTCAGAACTTGTTATGGCATACAGGTTACAGCATGCTCAAATTACTAGGTAAAGGGGAAGAAAACTGAAGGAGGCATCTGAGAACACATTACAAATGCAGCATATAAGACATGTCTTATAGAAGAGTAAGGGAGCTTATTCCAGAGGGCCRTCCACTTGGTCCCCATTAATACCAGAATAACAGTCTCTATGCTTCATGTGACTTTCTTACTGTGCTCCTCAAAGATAAAATATTCTGCCATCAAGGTAGTAATAAGTGCTGCATTGCTGGCTTTGTTCAGATAGGGATAGATGAAAAATTTGCAGCTAAGAGCATGTGGTTTGCAGCATTACAKTAGGCCAAGATGATTATGTGAARCAAAACTCAGMTAAATGGGTGCTTTTAATCTCAACYTGTGAGTATACTATATAAACTGTCAACATATTGAAGGAGACTCCTATAGAATTAATAAACTTCCTCTTAAAATTAAAAGTGTTGATATTATCCCTTATATCCAACAAGAGGAAAAGAATGAATAAAAATTGCCTTCTACATCTTGTTTTGCCCATGATTTCTTGYTGTGATAGAAGAGTTTTTTAATGTGGTATACTGTTATAATATCACCGAGACTTAAACAATACCTTTGTCTTTACCTGACTAACTCTACCTGACTGACAGAATCATGGCTCAGTCACTGTTCATCTGGGAAGCCCTCTCTGTCCCTGTCCAGCTTAGATTTCCACTTTTTCCCCATGGATTTGTCTGATTCTGTGTTTGTAGGCTAGAGTGACTCTTTAAATGTGTATTGAATAGAAGAATAAATTCATAGAAGAGCAATACCTGTTTTTATTTGTTTATGTTTCATGAACATTCTGAAAGATATAGGTAACCATGTAGTCATCAGTCAAAGTGGTGTGATTTTATTTGGCAGCAATAAATAAGGAGATGCCATTAGAGCATGTCCTCTTCTCTCAGGAATGACAAGAACAACTGGTTTGGAGGTTTGGGACTTTTCCTCAGGAGAGTAGAGTGCTTAGATCAAACCTCTGTCTGGGCCACTGAATTCCAGGGCTTCTGGGCCCTTTCCATATCTGCCTGCAGATGACAAACTCAGGTCTTAGCAGGTTTGCTTGACCTCACAGCATCTGACCCAGGCTTATGGCTTAGATTCCTATCCCAGGATATCATGCTGTACCACTAGGTGGAGCATCAGACCTCAAGTTAAAGGTCACTCCAGTTCCAATTCACTGCAGCTTTTGGTGGCTGTAGTCTAGGGAGGAGAAGAGACATGAAAATGGGAAGATCGGTTGCCTGCCAAGGATGTAGACTTCACTTTGTCATTAGTGGGGAGCTGGAGGACTGTATTCTCTCTGATGAATCTGAGATGAGAAGGCAGATGGAAGGCGGGCAGAGACTGGGCCCACTGAGGACAGGTTTTTCTTAGGGAAATAGCAGCGTATGCTGTGCAGTAAAGTGAGTGAGAGTCAAGAACTAACAAATTAGGAAACTCAAGGAGGAGGAAGGAGGATGATGAATTTGTGTTTGGAGCTGTTTTTGAGGTACCAAGTGGATTTGTCTAGAGGGGCCTAGATTGCAGTTGAAAGACCTATAAATTGCAGGTGTTAGGTGAGTTYATATCTGTAAATAAAGTGCTCCATGGAACACACAGAGAGTCAAAACAAGAAGTTCATGGGCAGCAAATGATAATGTGTATATTTAAAAAGAGTAGGATATATAACAAAACATTGATAGCAGTTTTCTCTGAGTACAGAAGTTCCAAGGGAGTTTGTTTTCTTTTTGCATATTAAATATTGTATAATTATTTTAAATGTTAATAATCATAAAATACAGAGAACTGAATAATATAATAGAGTAAAAGCAAGGGCTTTGCAAAAAGAACATTAGAGAAAGTTCTGTCAGTGAGATATAAGAGGGTGATTACTTTTTGTAGGTATCCAGTCTACCTCTCTGGTATTACCTGCCTGATCTAAAGAAGTCTGTCTTGACAAAAGCTATGTTTTAACTTGTTGAATTAGATTTATCTGTGCCTCACTTAAGCCTTAGGCCATAACTCATTGCTCTCTCTTGACACTAGAACACAGCAGTTAAGATACTGATAAAGAATGGTGTGGAAAGATTGAGTCACTGGAATYGCCTCATTATAACAACATGATGCTGATGCCATAAATGTTTTGTTTCAGTTTTGAGAGCGGACTAGGGAAAAGGAAGTGAAGTAATTACACTGAGGCAGATGGCATCAGATCAATCTAGATCCAGCACCTTTCATAGTGCTTGACACACAGTAGGCATCAAAAAAAAAAAAAAAAAAAAGCTTCTGGAACAAGTGAATTCAGCACTTCCATGCTTTCATTTGTATTTGTTCATGTATAGGACTCCTTTTTTCATTTATTCAACAATTCTTAAGGAATAAGAATTGTTCAGTAACAACTTATCATAATAAATTTTTCAAAAGTAGCTATTAAGTTGAATGTGATAAAAGTATATTGGAATATTCCTAAATGTATCAAAAGATAACTCTTACAACAACAGAACATATGGAAGTAGCATGAAAATTATATGTCAAGAAACTTTTATATTAAACAAATGCTTATTCCTGAATCTTAGAATAGTATACTTCTGTGCTTCTAAGAACATGGAGATAAGAATAGAATATTACAAATGCGAATGATATTTCATTGTATGGAAGTTCTTCATCTGAAACATAGTTATAAAGGTGTAAGATTGGAAAGAGAAGGAGGAATTTTATAAATGAGGGAAGCAAGCTCTATTGGAATAAAATATATTATGATTATGTAATATTTTAATATAAAAAGCATAATTCCAAAAATCCTGGAGAGTATAGTAGGAATTTTAGGAGAATTGTACTTGGGAGGTCATTATATCAAACACAAAGGACTTAGATTATGGCCAGTTTTGTGATTAACACGGTCAAATATTTGTTTAAGAAGTTTGCAGGATGCACAATGAATTTAGCTTGTTGATAACCAATCTGTATTGTCTGTATTAATCATCTCAAGTCTGCTTTTCTTCCTGAATTCAAAAGAACCTTGACAAGAAAAACAAAGACAGTAAAAAACAAATGGAATCTTCTATTTTCCCTCTATAGATTTTTGGTGTCCATGACAAAATGAACGCAAACAACTACTAAGTTATCTTCCACAGTGGCAACCTTGACGCATTTCCATACACAAACTACCTTTTTCTAGGGATTTTTAAAATCCATACATGTGAAAATTTTACATCCATCATTTTTCTTTTGTTTCATATATCAAGTTAAGAAAGCCAAGATTATATTATTTGGATAAATTAATTTCTAAACACAAATAGGTCAAGCCATAAATGTAGAATGATATTGCTCTTCTATTCAGAATTAATGATTATTCTGGCACTTCAGAACTCAAAGGATCAAAGAATGCAGGATTAAAAAGAACTATCATGTGAAAAGAACCTAATGAGGAGGCTGAGTGTGGCTCCGTGGTAGAATTGTGCTTGCCATCTGGAGGTCCTGGGTTCAGTCTCCAGGACCAAAACCAAAAATAAAACAAAAACACCAATCCTAACTAAATATTTTTCTATTCAAGCAGGATGGGTTTAAGGGATTTGGGTTTAAAATAAGTTGAAATTATTTGGATGGAAATAATCAGCCCTGTGCTTCGTGGGACCATCAAGGAAATCATATTAAAGTTTTTGTGACATATTAATTAAAGTTTTGTGTGAGACAAGGAGAATGCTTTCAGGAGCTGAAATTTATGCCTGAGTATAGGAATTAAAAGAGCTCACCATATTTAGGGTAGAATTAAAACTCAGTGCTTGGAAACACAGTAGCAAATATTTATAGATCATAGATAAGTAGTAAAAAATAAATAAAAATAAGTCTTGAAAAAGTTACTTACAGAGGAGTAAAGGAGAACATAAATTATCAAACTACAAAGATATTGACG